TAAACAAAAAAAAATTAATACGTTGCTATAAATGTGAAGTATGGGAATTTTAAGCCGGGGAGTTTATTTTATTTAGCTTTTTTTTTAGAGTACCACAAACAATCTACAACAAATGAGGTGATCATCCTTTTAAGTAAATTGAACAAAAGAATATGGGCTTCAACTTCTCAGCGCCAAAATTTTGCTCAATCACTGCATTATCTATATACTAGTATATTATCCTAATTTGACAGTGGTGCAACCAAAACTTGGGGCGTTGGGGTTGGTTGTTTTCAACCGAACTTTCAACGTACGTTTTCTATCGTAAAAACATATTATGTCTGGTAAAGAGTGGGAGCCCTGCGTCACATTTTTTGTAAAAGTATATATGTCTCTCACATCCTATGACTAACACTATATTGATGAAAAATGTCAGCTGTGGTACTTTTCTGACCAATTATTATACTCCATGCAAAATGTTACGGGGGGAGAGAAAACAGGCACGTAGCAGCTGGTGGAAGCGTTCCCCGCACCTTTTTTTCCAAACATCTCTCTACTTTTAAAAAATCTTCGTTGCTTTTGAAGACCACCGGTAGCTTCCTCCCTCTGTTTGTTACAGTAAAGCCAAGCAAGATTTGGTGCTGAAGGAAGTGGGACCTACACCCCCCTCCTCTAACTAAATAGGAGTTTCGTTTTTATTTCTCTGGCTTGCCCCCCCCCCCTTTCAAAACGCTGGTCACTATGATATTTAATACGTGTACTGTTGACATGTATGTATGTGAACACATTCTTATTCTACTTTTTTTTTATTTTAATAAGAGGAGTTGTTAAATAATATTGCAAGGATAAATAATCTAAATAATCTATTAAATACATGTTGTATCTGTATATTTAATACATTTTGTTGAACAATTAATTTCAGCTTTGAGGTCTCGTATTTAATTATTTGCCATTCTTTATTTGGTAATTGGATATTGTGTTTTAATCAATTGTTTGTCCTGTTCAAACCAGATATACAGGGAATATAGTTGTTTTCCCCGCCTTATTTATACAAAAACTAAACAACATGAGATGTTTTATTTATATCACTAGAGTTCAATCAGTGAGCATGCGCATATTTAACACTAGTGCGACACGGGTTGTCTTAATCGAATACACTCTAGGCACCATGATATACATGTATGTTCCCTGAAATTTCTGCTGTGAATTTATCGCAGTAAGAAGAAAAAAACTGTCTCTTGTCTCTTCCTATTTTGACAATAATGTTGTTTCTAGCAAAGAAATATGGTGTCCAGATAGGGCCATTTGCTAAAGCTCACCATCGCGTTCAGTAAAACACGCCGTCGCACTAACACGAGTTCGCACAACACCAGGGATGGGGTAATTGAAAAAAGTAATTGTAATTGACTGTAATTAATTACATTTTTTGAAGTAATTGGATGTAATTTGTAATTGAACATTTTTTTCAATTACTTGTAATTGTAATTTAATTAATTACACTGAAAAAATACCATGTAATTTCAATTATTTTTTCAATTACATTCAATTACTTTATATAATACACATGCATGATATATTGTCACCACGACCTCCCCATTACACTGTCTTTTATTTTATTGCAACATATAAATCCTCAGTCCTTTAATTATAAAGACAGATTATCTTATAATTTTAATGTAGTTCCTTTCTAATCATTATATAAAATTTAATTTTTTTGTTTTATGTTTATCTACATTTTGCACCACAATTCTTTAATAGGTCTATTCAGCTATGAAACGCACATTATTTATTATATTTCAGTCTCTGTTGCTTGATCAATGTAGAATAAGTATGTATGTGTCAAGAAAAAAAGAAAGGGAATGTGTGTGTCATTAATGAAGTTCACTCTTGGTGGTATTAAGAGATAATTGCCCTCCAGATCATAGCTGTAAATTGCAATCAAAACAAAGCAACCCCTCTAAAGACATATATTCATTCCATGATTATGATGACAAAGCCACTGCATGTGGATAATTATTTCAATTAAAAATGCTCTGCTAGTTTGAGAAAAGAAAAACTTTTAATTTGATAATTATTTTTAACATCTGAACAGAATTTTATGAATGAATTTTGTATCTGAAAAAGATATGCTTTATACAAGTATTATATAAATATGAAGTAAAAATGTACAACATAAGTAGCAATTTAGGATGTGAAGGTTGCCTTTAAAAGAAATATCTAATTTGAGGGGTTATAATTGCGACTTATTTTACTCAATTAGAAAAAAACCTGTTTATCAAATATCTTAGCCCATACAATTTGTGTACATGTACATGTAGGTTTTGTGTGGAGGCAATTGCATCAAACTGATCTTGAATAGTTCTTTACTGTTTTGTAAATAAAGGTTATGATTTAAACCACAAAGATACACAATGCCTACAAGCATATTATTTCTTGTATTGTTTATGCAGAAGCTGCTCTTATATACAAGTGAATGATCCCTGTTTTGCATATCCATATGATTATAGAAAAATTAAAAAAAAATTGAAAATGTAATTTGTAATTTAATTAATTACTTTTGTAAAGTAATTGTAATTTAATTAATTACATGTCTTAGAAAGCCTGTAATTTAATTGTAATTTAATTGAAGAAAAAGTCAAAGTAATTGTAATTTAATTAATTACATTTTAAAGTAATTGACCCCATCCCTGCACAACACGCTATCGCGCTAACACACAACACGTTGTCACGCTAACACGAGTTCGTACAACACGCGCTGTCGCGCTAACACACTTTCAAGCAACATGCTGTCGCGCTAACACAAAACACGCGTTGCGAGTTGTGTGTGTTAACGCGACGGCTTGTTGTGCGAACTCGTGTTAGCGTGACAGTGTGTTGTGTGTTAGCGTGACAGCGCGTTGTGTGATAGCGTGTTTTTCTGAATGCAGAATGCGCTGTTTAGCTTTTGCATAAGGCCCTATCCGGACACCATAGAATTGAAATATTCTCGCCACTTTTATAAATCAAAATATTATCCTTCTACTTGAATTAAAAACTACCAGTCCATCATGTGTTATATTCTCTGTAAATTTTGAAATACCTTGTTGCACACAATGCCGATAATTTTCTAATCAAAAAATTAAATTATTTTATAGTTTTATTTATTCAACAAAAAACTTGACGAAAGGATATATCTTGTTTAAAGACGCAATTTCGAAAATTCGAATATTAACAGACGTTTTTCAAACATTGTTACATGTAGGCCATTATTTTCATACTGAATCGATGACAAGAAACACAGCGATGACAAGGAGAGGGCGTGGCCAGTCGACATGGGACGCTTACCCCTCCATGGCACCTGATTCCACCTCTGCTCCTGATTTGTATTGCTAAATTAATGTTGGACCTGTAAAACATTCGTTGTGGTGGTGGGTGTACCCACTACATTTCCATACAGTAGTGCTTCCTCAATTTAATTCCTTCTCAAGGGAATTATATGTCGGTATAACCCAAGATCCCATCAAAAATTTGTCCCCCCTATTTTCCTGACGTTTATAAGCCTTTAATATCTCCAAAAAATTATTGAAGTATTTGCTTGCAAAAAAAATGTGGGAATTAGATATATTGTGTTTAAAAGGGATTACTCTTTCCTCCTATTTATTCCTTTTATTCCTTTCTTGCCTCCACTGTTAAAAAATTTCTAAACCAACCAATTTGTGTCATTAGTGTAATCTATCATAAGGTTTAATCAATTAAGCATGCGTATTAAAGGTATTAAAGATAATAAAACAGGCAATATCATCTATGAGCAGCGGCAGTTGGCAGTAAGCAGTGAGCAGTTGACAATAAGCAGTAATCAGTTGGCTGTCGTGTATGGAATTCCATAGTCTTTTGTTTCAACAACACCTTATATTAATTTTACAAAAGTAAAAAAAAAAAGAAAAAAAAACAAACCCGAGATTCTTTTGGGATGAAAGGCTTTGAATATCTGCCTGTTTCAATTTTTTTTATTTGACTGCAAAATAAAAATTTACCACATTTGGACAATTCTCTTTAGAGACAAGCTTTTGTTTTGACATTCAGGCAAAAGTCTGTCCACTTATCTCCCTCGTTTCACTCCTCCGCAAATAAATATTTTCTTGACTAATTTATGGTCGACCCTAATTTATTGAAAAACAAAGAAAAAGAATATACTGTAGGATTGTTTCGTTCATTACAAATCGCATTTTTATTCAAAACATACAAATCAAACTCACAAATTTTTAAAGATAAACAATGCAAGGGCTGGGAGGGCAGGGAAAGCCAAAGACACAAAACAACCTGCGATTCTTTGTAACGAACGTCGCATTAATCGAACATTCCCCGGTAAAAGTACCGTTCACGGTAGCTCAGTCGGTAGAGCGCTCGCTCCGTGATCGAGAGGTCGTGAGTTCGTATCTCGGGCGCGACTGACTTAGTCGTTAAAATGGGTAGCAACTGTTCCTTCGCCATGCGCTCGGCACTTTGAAGTGAAAGTTGCGGGTCCTTCGGATGAGACCTTAAAAACCGAGGCTCCGTGTCAGCGGCATGCGTTGGCACGATAAAGATCCCTCACTGCTCAATGGCCCTGAGTGCCGAGTAAAGGTCAAAATTTGAAGCCCTTCAAACGGTGCATACGGTGACGTCTCCATAGGAAGTGAAAAATTCTCGAGAGGGACGTTAAACAATATACAATCAATCAATCAATCCCCGGTAAAAGTATTTATAGTGAGCGGTAAATCGCTCGTGCATGAAAAACCAGTTTCTTTAGATACGAAGTTTCACGGAGAATACCGAAGTAAAAACGTAAAGAAATAAATTTCTCTAAGAAAAAAGGAAAATTTGACATTTTAAAACATTTAAGGGGATCTAAGTGGATAAGATCATGGCTCACATATTATAGTAGCCTAATATGTATCTTCCCACTGCTTGAAAGAGAAAACTTACATGTTAGCACCAAAATTTATAATGATCTTCATCGATTAACCTATAGAGTTACCTTCCTTTTGCCTTTTCCAATGTTATCAGGACGTCGATGTTTAGATTTCCCGCCTTCTGTCAATAGATCATGTGACCTACTTGTCCAAAATGGTGGACAATAATGAGTTCTATGGACGCTGCAACACATGAAAATGAAGGAGCCTCACTCTCCAGATCCTGGGAAAGGATTTTTAAAAACAAAAAATAAATTTCGTGAGTTGAACAACCCGTTATATATTCATTGTAACATTTGATAGTCTTTATAACTCATTAAACTATTGAAACTGTTTCATGTGGTCGATCTCAACATGTCACAATGTGTACAAATATTTATAGTTTTCAAGATACTGATAAATGTTTTAAGGGTTGGAATCCTGATTCAGATTTGCATGAGGTTTTTAGTTTACTTAAAATATTGTAATTTGATAAAAATATAATTGAGTAAATTTAAGTAAATGGACGTTTGTTACTAGATAAAAAGGTTAAAAGTTTTTGTAAATATTAGTAAGGCCACGCTCCTACTAGCACTAGCTAGTGGGTTAGCCTTGTAGAAGTTGATGGCTCGTTTTCATACTCATCCTCAACTTTCAGTTCAGAAATCAACTTAATGAAAAACCAAACCAGACCTCACTTCGATCAGTGTTTTAGGTCTGATGTAGCTGCAGAACTGTAGCTCTCCAAAAAAATTTATTGACAGACTGGTCTGTCAATATATATATTTTTTTTTTTGAAAGCTACAGTACTGCTTAGTTCGATGCGATATCATAGACATAGTTTGGATTCACATGTATATAGATGAAAGGTGATTAATATCATACATGTTAACTCTACAGCTTTAGGCGGAAGTTACTGTAAACCAACTTTTATTCGCGTGCAAGAAATTTTCGCGAAGTTTGTGAGGGCCTCAATATCACGAATATTTCTTGCCATGAAGCAGTCCATTAAGTCTTTGTGTCTATAAATAACAGATCAAAAAAGGCTTGATCGCAAAAATTAATCATCACAAACTAGTTTAATCCCGGTAAATCACGAAATAAAAGTTGTCGCGAATAAAAGTTGGTTTACAGTAACCGTTTTTATATCCCATCTCCTGCCTATCGCTTTTTCCATTATTCCTAAATCTACTGTTTTTCTTTAACTCTCGTAAAATCCCCTTATAGATATCATGTGAGTGACATGTGAGCAAATGTTACATTTTGTAGTGGTCATATTAAGGCAATATATATACATGTATATCTTCCTAAACCCATGAGTTAAACAATGCGCGCAATGCTACCTTTTCTGAGGGCTGAATCGATCTCCCCCTTTTTCATCACAGTGGTTAACATGTAGGTTAACAAGTATTTTAATATACTGATCATTATATTTTCTCAATAACACTTTTAATGATCTATAGTGACACATATTTGCAAAATCTGTGTCACTAGATTTGTTCATTCGTTAAAAAGTTTAGAAGATGAATTGTTCAATGGGCATATAGTGAGTTCTTTATACAGTTTATCTTCTTAATAATGAAATGATGGTCTTTACATACCACTCTTTTGATAAAAACTGTTGTCAATGAATATAAGTGATTCTACTTTGTTTTGTTTGTTTCCTAATCCTTTTATGAAGCATAAAGGTTTAAGAAAATACAACCCCAAAGCCTAGAAAAGCTGCCTATATTTACAAATTATTAGGTGAAAGGTTTTAGTATTTGTTTGGCAGATAAAAAAAAACTGTTAACATTCATAACAATATTCTGCCTTCAATTATGAATGTAGGGAAAGTGGCACTTCACTCATGATATGAATATCACCCCCCCCCCCTTGGCCCCCCCCCCCCCCCCATTAGTCTTATTTATATTGTTTCAACAGACATTTGAGCATGATGTAACTGTTCATTATCTCCATATTTGATACATTTGCCTTAATTTAAACAATAAAATGCTTTCTTTATTTGTTATTACTGGAATTAACGGAAGCAGCTGTTGCAGAAAAAATAAATAACCCGCTATGTAAATTTTTTCTGCAATAGCTGCGACCGTTAATTCCAGTAATAACAAACAAAGAAAGACATTTTATTGTTTATATTTGTATCTGTTTAAATAATCATTTAAAGAAGGATTAAAAAGTTTAATTATTGTATTAATGATGCAAATGTCTTTGTATGTTTCATTGATGGAGCAGCCATGCACTGATCAAGAAATCTGTACAGGCGACATGCCTTATGTAGTTCATGCAGTGATTAACGCAATGGGTTTTCTTAAGAAATAAAGGAGAAAATATTCAGTGGATGTAAATATAGCATCTTAATTGATTTGTGAAATCTCATTTGAAAACAGTGCAGTGACTGAGTGTAATACATGCCCAAATGAAGCATTTATGCAGAATATTGAATGGTAGTGGTTATGGTGCCTATTAATTGATCCATTTCAGGCTACAAGCAGCCAGCTACATTAGTGACATTAATCTGAAACTCCAAAATTGCATAAACATTAACTTCATTTTTAGGAATATGGGTAATACTTGCCTGAAGCTTATAATTATTGCTAATAAAGAATACATGCATGCACTGTGACTATGGTTATCGTATCTGCTGTAGCATTTACAATGCTATAGTATATGACACATTGTGGCTATTGAGTTAATTAGGTGATAGCAACCCTTTGACATATTGTAGCTATTGAGTTTATCTGATGATAGGCCAAAAGAATCATATGTCAATTCTACATTGAACGAATGAGGCTTATGTTCCTGTGTATAAGATGACCTCTGAATGTGTTTTATATTATATCACCAAATGTGAAGAGTAATTGATGTTTTATATTCCATCTTGGTTATGGATTTTACTGTAGTTTTGTGTAATTACATTGGAGGTTTGTTAAACAGATGTATGTACTAGTATGGAGTGTATGGGTATAGATGTGGACTATAATTAACAAGAGTGCTTGTAAACTGAAGTAAAGTTCTTTTAATCAGTGGATATGGGAACTAATAGTGAATCCAGTAAGTACATGTAAATGTAACTTAAAGATACCGACGAGGAATATCTTTATTGTTTAATTAAGTTAGGATCAGGTGAAATAAAGATAATGAAATAGGGTAGCTAAAATCATTGTTATAGTTTTAATTAGATATAAAATAGTCAATAAATTAAATTTGAAAAGATATAAATAAATGAATTTAAAAAGAAAACAAAAACAAAAAATAGCAAAGCATGCAGTTTTTTAAAAATGTATATATCAATGTATGTTTTTTCATTTCTTTTACTTACACAGTTAAGACCCTTTTAATGTAATTGCTCTTTGATGGGTATACATGTCAACATGTCACTTTCAACCCTCCTTCCCTGACATAAATATTTCATATCATTTTAAATGATAAATTGTAAAATACACTATTCATGATCAACTTCTATATTCATCATATTGAGCTTTCCCTGTGAAGAGATGTTTGTGTATGTCTACCAGTGGCTATGATGAGTATATACACATAAGTCGCATTACTTAGCCCCTGTAATATATGAGTTTTTAAAGCTTCTGTTACAGACGCTAACACTCTAAATCAATATGTATATCCTTCACTAACCAGCAGTCAGCTTATTTATCATGAAACAGGGGACAGATATTGATCTGCACAAAAAAAACTCATAAAAAGGGGGAGAACTTTATAAAATATCATGTTTTGTTTAACACCATTCAACAAATGACAGATGCAAAAAAACATAAATATCATGCACAATTTCAGAGAACTGGAGAAAGCATATATATAAAAATACATCAGAAGTGACTATTTTGGATAATTTATCATAAAAGCTCATAGGAACCTTTTTTTTTTTGACTTGTCAACACATTTCTGAGGTAGGATTTTTTTTTGACCCCCCCCCCCCCCCCCCTGATAATATTTATAGTGCACTTATAACATTTCAAATAAATCTGTAGTATATAACTGTTCCAAAGAAATAATTATTTCAGATGATTAACAATTTAAAATTACTTTTGGTAAAGAATCTTTTATATTTTGATTTGAAAACATATATTGCATTAAATGTCAAGAAACAACAGAACATTATCATTAAATGTATAGCAAATTAAGGTTAGGATTTTTTTACTCTGTTTCTTATTATTATTATTTTTCTTCTTCTTCTTCTTCTTCTTCTTCTTCTTCTTCTTCCTGGGTACTTTTCTGTCCGGGAGTGATCTTGTAAACTGTTCGTCCGATGTAGGTAAAACCTTTTTAGGGTCAGTAGGCATGTTATGTAGATATGCGGAAAAATTGCGCGCACGTGCTTGCAAGAGCGTGCACGTGCAACACGTGAAATTACCAATATAATGGATATTGTAGTAACTTTTCTATTTTTCGATGAAATTTTTTGAAACTCATAATGTAAGGATACATTAGAAGTACAGACAAGATACATGGTTAGCAAGATCACACGCATGCACGTGCGCTTCGCTCTGATTGGCTAATTTCAAAAATATATCTTTCTGTTCTTGTCATAAGAAATTTTGAAAATAATTATATTTCAGATGATATAACAATTTAAAATTACTTTTGGTAAAGAATCTTTTATATTCATTGATTTGAAAACATATATTGCATGAAATGTCAAGAAATGCAGTGTAGACAAGTATTCATGCACATGCATTCAACATCTTGGGTGCAATCATATATTGGTATCCTTTTGGGAAAATGTTATAGCAAATGAAGCTTAAGTTAAAATTCTCACTAGTTCTCATTTAGTTTGTTATACCTTTAGGTTCACGGATATTAGCTAAGAAGCTGATACATGTTCCGACCAGTCGTCTGGTGGCGTCCAGTCACATTCTCCGTAACACCGTCCCCACCCAGGACTGTGATGTACTTGTCACCTTCCCAGCCGACACTGACACCACCACCCTCGTGTGGCTCCTGGACCGACTCAGAGCCAGGTCCCCCCACCTCATCATCCATGTCCATCACCATAGCAACACCAAAGGCTCCATGTTCCATCTGACTGCAACTTATGAGGGGTGAGGCTTTTTATCATTCATCTTATGTACAGTCAGATCAGCTTTAAAAATCACTCAACTGACAATTCTTTGCTCATCAATTCATAAAGTGACAGGGGTATCCCATCCAGTTTTATCCATACATATTATGTGGGCTTTCCCATGGCATTAACATGAAATGGACTTTATACAGTTATACTTATATGGGAGCAAGGGAGATGTCACAGCTCACAGTATCTCAAGTTTTTGGTTTCTTTTTTACAGGCCCTTGGATAAGACTAAGTTCTCAGATATATTGAAAATTCTTTATACTTTTGAACATCTGCCTTATTTACAGACATTTATCATGTAAACTCAGTAAAAGTATAAATTTTATCAAACTTAATCATGTAGTGTCAAATGTGGTTACCTTAATTTAAAGCACAGGCTTCAGCATCAGGGTAATTTATATACATGTATTATATGTAGCTCTGTGGGCTAAAAAAACCCGAAGTCCTTCTCAATTGTTTAAAATTAATGAGTGTAAGATCTGCCATTAATATTAAAAATGCCGAAATTTTAAAAAAAGATTTCAATCCTGAGCATTACAGAGGCAAACATGATGCTGTTTGATAATGAACAGAACTATCCAATTTTGTCGCATTTTTCTAATTTCAGTCTCAGGCAAGGATTAAGTTGGTCATCACATGCGAAACTCTTGATATTCACTGACAAGTAACTAATCGAGGCCTGAGGGATCTTCACTCTGTTGTAAAATAATTTTTTAGCAAAATTTTCCAAGAAAAAGTAATTACCTCTTTGAGACTGGATACTCATTTCTTAAAATATAAGCTAGATGTTTAAATTTATTTAGCTTTAATTAACTACATTGTATTAACATTTGCTAAAATTTTTCTTGAGCTAATACTCTCTAAAGAGAAAATAATTCATAAAGGCAAAAGGTAACTTAATCAGCACGAAAAGTAAGAATTAACTCCTAGAGATAAATAGCCACTAGGTGATGAGGTGGTTGTTGTTTTAGTAACTGACCTACAGAGTTGGGTTTGTACAGCACTGTGTGGAATGTTGGGTATACAAGTTACATGTACTGATATTTATAGCATTAGAAGAACTGTGGCCAAAGAGCAAATCATTTCATGACATCTGGCAGTGATCATCATATGCTTCCAATAAAAAGGATGAAAAGGATTTTTTTTCCTGTTCTTAAGACAAAAAATTTAAGTGTGATGTATATTTAAAGATGTTTTATGATGCAATTATCAGAGGAAGTGCAAGACTGAATTTTCTTACTAGCACAGTGTATATGAATATTATTAAAAAATTATTTCTTATCATATCATACCTTTGTTTTGTACAATTGATTATAAAACAAGGTGCTACTATTAAGAAAAATAGTCATATAGTACTCCGTGATTTGGCTTAATTAACTGTAGGATTATAAGAAAAAATGTCAATCTAAAAAATTACGGGTACTTAGAAAGTAAGAAGATTTCAAAGAAGTGATTAAAATTTAGAAATTTTAAGCTAGTTTATTTTCCAGAAAGTAATTAAAATTCACATGCAGCCAGTATCCTAAGAGTCTTGACTAATTCTATCACATTTTTGTGCTAATACATTACATCTGTGCAAGGTTTGTTTATTGTTACCTGGTATTTTTAAACAGATACCAGCTACTGACAAATAAATTGATGTTACATGGATTTCAACACCCCCACTTTACTTCATCATTCTGTAAATACTATGGTTGATATAATGACCTTGATAGCAAATCTTTGGGTTGTATTCTAGCTGACTTGTGTCATACATGTTTGTATACAAAATTTGATTAAGGGATATTTTGTCTACCTGATACAATAAATGGTGCTTATCATCCTAATAGTGTTTGATTGGTCAGCAGGGGATGCTTACTCCTCCTAGGTACCTGATCCCACCTCTGATATTACTGGGGGTCTGTGTTTTATGCTCTGTTCACATATTTATATTGCACAATTACATACTTAAAATTAATATAAAGAGCTTTCTCTTTTTTAAAGAGATTGAAATAATATTGGCATTATACTGATTCTGTCAAATAATATTAGAAGAATTATAACCTTTTTGTATTTTCATTGGTATTTTTTAAATTAACAAAAAGCACATACAATTATCCAATTAGCAAATAATCACATTTTTTCAGACTTCTTAAAGGAGCAGAAGAATTAGGAATTCAGAAACTCCTGAAAGAAGAACTTGGAGGTGGAATGAAAGAATTTTCAGTTGAAGAACAAGAGTGCTTTAAGAACATTGAGGATGAGAACCTCTTCTTTAGTAGTCAGGAGAGACAGAGCATTATATGCCATCTGTTGGATAATCTGAGAGCTATTCAAGGGGAACAACTGGGGAAAGTGAAATTTGTGGAAGGCCAGTCTATTGGTAAATTGCTAGCTTTGACATTTTTTGACAGAGCAGTTTAGATCACTGCAGCCATAGAGATGACAGTATCTGGACTACACAGAATTTTTTTTAATAACATTTGTTAAGAAGTGTATGGAACTATATAATTCAAGGAAAATATGGACAAAATTCCAAAGTACTTGGAATTTGAATAAAACAAATTATACTAAATATCTCATTAAGTAATGCTTGTTATAAAGTACTATTACTATCTTTTTTTAGTTCCACTGTTGGAATCCAAGAAAATCATTTCCCAAGTGTTCCCTCTCCACTGTAAGCAGTCCGTTAAGGAGTTGAGGAAGACCTGGGTACAGGCAGTCTTCTCCCCTCAGCCCCTAGGTATTTCTATCTTAAAGTTTTAAATGTTATGATTTACATATATGACCATTATCCAAATCATTTATATGTATGGCAAAATGTAACTGTATGGTCATAGGCCTCCTGTGTTTAGTTTGTCCCTCAGTCATGATGTTTTCACTCCTACTGGCTTATATCTCTAAACAATTGGCAGGGATATCATTTCTATCTTTAATGCGTCCGGCGTCCGTCCGTCTGTCCGTCTGTCTGTCCGTCTGTCTGTAAACAATTTTTCAAAATGCTACTCCTCCTACAGTTTTGTCTAATTTCAATATAACTTAGCACACAAGTAGACTACACTAAGATACATAATTCTGTGTATCGGTTTTTGAATGAATGGTGTTGCCATGGTTACTAAAAATAGAAATTTCTGTGAAATTCTTTCAAAATGCTACTCCTCCTACAGTTTTCGTTTGATTTCAGTTTAACTTGGCACACAAGTAAACTACACTAAGATACATAATTCTATATATCGGATTTCGATGAGTTGTGTTGCCGTGGTTACTAAAAATAGAAATTTCCGTGAAATTCTTTCAAAATGCTACTCCTCCTACCTGATTTCAGGATGTTGGCAAACAAGTAGAATACACTAAGATACATAATTCTGTGTATCGGTTTTTGATTTCAGTTACTAAAAATAGAAATTTCTGTGAAATTTTTCAAAATGCTACTCCTCCTACCTAACTTGGCACACAATAGAATACACTAAGATACATAATTCTGTGTATCGGTTTTTGATTTTAAACGATGTTGGCGTGGTTACTAAAAATAGAAATTTCTGTAAAATTGTTTCAAAATGCTACTCCTCCTACAGTTTTGGTCTGATTTCAATATAACTTGGCACACAAGTCGACTACACTAAGATACATAATTTTGTGCATCAGTTTTTGATTTCGATGAACGGTGTTGCAGTGGTTACTAAAAATAGAAATTTCTGTGAAATTCTTTCAAAATGCTACTCCTCCTACAGTTTTGGTCTGATTTCAGTATAACTTTGCAAACAAGTAGAATACACTAAGATACATAATTCTGTATATCGGTTTTTGATTTCGATGAATGGTGTTGTCGTGGTTACTAAAAATAGAAATATCTGTAAAATTGTTTCAAAATGCTACTCCTCCTACAGTTTTGATCTGATTTCAATATAACTTGGCACACAAGTAGAATACATGATACATAATTCTGTTTTTGTTTTCAATTGATGAATGGTGTTGCCGTGGTTACTAAAAATAGAAATGTCTGTAAAATTCTTTCAAAATGCTACTCCTCCTACAGTTTTGTTCTGATTTCAGTATAACTTGGCACACAAGTAGACTACACTAAGAACATAAAGAGACTTTATCAACGATCATTATTCTATTTAATGCTGTTTATAAAGTTTCAAATCCCAGCTGCTTAAGTACTTTCTCTTCCTTTGCTATAAGTTCAAACCAGTAGAGCTTCAGTCTCGACAGAGACTTTTTTTTTTAATATTTGGTACAAGGAAATGTTGAAAAAATTAAGATAATGTGTATTTTGTTAAAAATATTTATAGGTAACATTGCTTGCCATATTTCCAATTTGCAGGCAGGTTTTTAATTCTACTGATTTTAGCATCGTTCTTTTGTTTCAGATAAAATAAAGGATTACTTTGGAGTAAAAATAGCCCTGTACTTTGCCTACCTAGGACACTACACCCTGGCCCTGTGTTTACCAGCCTTTGTTGGACTAGGAATATGGATCATGCAGTGGCAGGCAGACCAAGTAAGCCCATGCTTCCTTTGTTCCTACACAGGCAATATCTGTATTCAAACAGACATGTCCCTATTTTCTTTTTATGATAAGTACTTCACAATGTCCTTTTTAGGAGTGGGATGATGAACTTTTTATTGGCTTTGCCTTGTTTAATGCTCTCTGGGCCACAATATACCTGGAACACTGGAAAAGGAAAAGCTGTGAGCTGACCTATAACTGGGGCACTCTAGATTCACATAAAGAGATGTTAGAGGACCCCAGGCCCCTGTACACTGTGAGTTACCTCCTCCTGTTAGTGAAATGTTTATTTATTTTGCTCTGTGCGAAGAAAACAAGGCATTTAGACTCTAAAAAATAGTCAAATCATTCATTAGTATAAACCAGGTTTTTACATTTTCTTGTGTTCATTTTCTATTTATGAATTTTCTGTACAATTAAAAAAAAATCATTTTATGGTTGAATTGGGGGAAAAGGTACTAATATTAATGTATTTTCAGTGAAACACCAGATGGTTTTGTCATCTTTCAGTAACATTATCAAGAAAATTCTGTTAGTTGTAAACTTTTTCTGCAGGGGAGACTGGAAGCCAGTCCTGTGACAGGCAGACTGGAGCCATTTTATCCCTCCTGGAAGAGAAATCTGTTTCGATATTTTGTGTCCTACCCTGTCATTGTTTTATGTCTTCTGGTTGTGTTCGTTATCATGCTTTTAATTTTTGAGGTAAGTACAACAGTACAGCATTAGTACTGCAAGTATAGGTTACATCATAGAAGCCGAGTAGTATTGATTATATCGTTTTCATGGGGCGTGGAAATGATATAACCAAATATGAAATCACAGAAACAAATATCAAGGAATTTAACGATATAAAGTTTGGATATTTTACCGTAAGTTTCAGAATGGATTATAATCTTTTGAATGACTGGAAACTTTCAACTGAGTTAAATACACGTATTTTAATTTAGTTAAGGGCTAAGAAATAGCTAAACATGTTCATTTTTCTGTAGTTATGAACTTGTGAAATAAAATTAGTTTTTTTTCTCATGACCCGATTTCTGCCTCCTGCAGTGATATATGAAGGGGCATGGAAAGTATTATCGCATATGTGATATGGGATATATCACCACAGAAAGATCAAAGAAAATCACCGCAGATATGCGACAATGTTAAATATTTTGCACTTGATATTCCAGACTCTGACCCAGGTTGGAGTCAGGGTTGGCCATAATACTGCCAGGGATTCAAACTCTTTAATGCACTTTGTAGAAATTGTTCTATAAAGATATCCAAAATAATTCTGATGCTTTTTTTGGCAACCATTTTCAAGTTATGTATGTTTAATTTAATCAAGTAAAACCTAAGGTTTATAACTATTCAACATGTCCAAAAAAAAAGAGAGCTTTTTGAGCCAGTGATCTTTTGTTTTGATTAACGACAAAAGAGTTGAAGTAATTGACTTTTAATAATATTATCAGGTCCAGGAATGGATCAACTCTCTTGTAAACAATGGTGACGTTCCAGGATTCTTCTCCTTTCTCCCCAAAATCCTCCTGGCTGTGTCCATTGGAGTGTTAGATGAAATTTATAAAACCATTGCTAAATGGCTAAATGACTTAGGTATGAAAAAAGTGCTCTTTATTTACACACAAAATCATTTGTTATATGAGAATTAATTTAATATTTAGATCATATTTTAAATATTTCATATTTGTTGATTCTTTCCAGAAAATTACAGACTAGAAGAAACATACTGGAACCACTTGATTGTAAAGTTAGTTCTGGTGAGTCTGTTTATCTTTAAATCCGTGATTCTTCAAATGTATCAGTGTGTATTTCTATCAGTATGTATTTCAGCTGTGATTTTATAGTCTTCTTATTTGTGTTTAATCTGAAGAGTGATTTGTGTAAATTTTTGTCCCTTTAATTTGCTGTTTTATCATACCTTTCAATTTCATTTTTCATTAAATTGATTGCACTAAAAACTTAATAGTGTTTCCTTTTAATTAACTGTCACAAAATGCTATCTTTACCATTATGATAATACTTCTTTAAACCTTCAAAAGCTCATAATAAAAGAGTACAAAATCATTAGAATTCTTTCATTAGACATATGTATTTTATGTATATTACTCTTTCTAGTTTCAGTTTGTGAACTCTTTCCTGTCTCTCTTCTACATAGCATTTTATTTACGAGACATGGATAGACTCTGTGATGTAAGTGCTCATCATTTTCTGTTGTAGAACTCAAATACATTTTGATAAATGTTTGGATATGATAGAATCCATACATATTTTTAGCTATATCCTGGTCAGAGACCAGAGGAGATTTTGCTGATAATTCTTATTTATTTATTTTTTATTTTGACCAACAGTGTCGCCATGATAGCTAAAAATAATTTTCTTTTGGAATCCATTCAAAATGCTATATTTCTTTCAATTTTCAACAAATGTAGACTTTATGGAGACAAGCAATTGTTTTATGTATTCTTGATTTTGACAAGTGGTGTTGCCATGGCAATGAAAATTCTTTCTGTATAGTAGTATATTGTATTTCTGACAGTCATCTTGCTTTTGTTATTAGAACCTAAAATTTCTTTGAAATTCTTTCAAAGCACTTCTCTTAATTCCTTCGGTTTTAGTCCAATTTCAATAAAATCATACACAGATAGACTATAGTAAGATACATAATTCTATATAACACTTTTAGATTTTAAGAAATGATGTTGCCATGGTCACTAAAATAAAAAAAATCTGTAAAATTCTTTCAAATCACTTTGCCTCCTAAAACTTTGGTTTGATTAAACTTTTTCTACTTATTAATTAAAGTACAATTTCTTATTACATTATAAATTATTCATTAAAGACTTCTGGTTAAAAAAATGAAAATTTCAGTTTGACAAAGAGAATGAAAATGCATTTAATTCATGTGTAATTGACACAATAAAACCATGTTAGTATTTCAATATTTATTTAACAGCAATTGGCAGCAATCTTAATTACTCGTCAAATCATTGGGAATCTAAAGGAGGCTTTTTTGCCATACCTACAATGGAAAGCCAAACTCTACAAAGTCGGTTACGAAATGACAAAAGATCTCATTATTCCTGAGGGGAAGGCAGTTTCCTCTAATCTCAAGGCTTCATCGAATCAGGATTTTCCAGAATCCATTGTGAATGATGAGGAGTTATCTTCTCCTGAACAGCCTATCACTGATAAGCAGGAACCTGTTAATGGGGATTTTATACAAAGTGACTGTGTTCAGGGTTCTTGTGATGTTAGACAGAGAAAAACCTGTGAAGGAGAACTAAAGGGAGATAATGAACTCCAGGAGATCAAAGAAAAATGGGGAAAACCCCTCTCTCTCACCCAGGCTGAGGTGGAAAGTGCCATGAAACAGGTAAAAAACAGAGCAGTGTGTAACAAGTCGGATAAAGACTTATGTAGAAGTGAGGATACTGTAGACATACTTTTTTCCACGGGGTCATAATTTTGCGGAATCTCAATTTCTGTTTAATCCGAGGGTAGAAAATTACGCAGATTTCTTAGACTGTCGCTATATGCCTTACATTTACGTTAAGTAAGCTAGGACAAAATTCCGCGGAAAATTTGTGAAAGTGTACATAGCGTAAATTATTACCATGTGGAAAGAAGTACTTCTACAGTAACTGCAAACTTCTAATCTTCATGGTTTAATTTGGAAATACAAAGGGATCACAATAAAAAGGAAATGGTGACTTTTTTAGCCCACCTGAGCTGAATGCTCAAGTGAGTTTTGATCACTTTTTCTCTGTAGTCAGTCTGTCCATCCATCTGTCTGTCTGTAAACTTTTAACATTTTCGACTTCTTCTCAAAACCACAGAGCCAATTTCAACCAAACTTGCCACAAAGCATCCTTGGGTGAAAGGGATTCAATTTTTGTTCAAATGACGGGCCCCGCCTTCTTTCAAGGGGAGATAATTAAGAAATAGTAAAAATTTGGTGGCGTGTTTGAAAAATCTTCTCCTGAAGAACCACTGGGCCGGGAAAAATGAAACTAATGTGGAAGCATCCTCAGGTAGTGTAGATTTAAGTTTGTTTAAATCACGACCCCCGGGGGTAGGGTGGGGCCACAATGGACGATCAAAGTTTTACATAGGAATATATTGGAAAAATCTTCTCCAGAACCATTGGGCCAGAAAAAATGAAACTTATGTGGAAGCATTATGCAGATGTTTATACAGTTTGGTTTCATCTTTTTACCTTTCTATTTTTAGCTTGAGGATTCTTTAGAAGACTACCTGGAGATGGTTATACAGTTTGGTTATGTCTTTTACCTTTCTATTTTTAGTATGAGGACACCTTAGAGGACTACCTAGAGATGTTTATACAGTTTGGTTATGTGACCCTCTTTTCCTCTGCCTTCCCTTTGGCTGCTCTTTGTGCTCTGCTGAACAATATAGTGGAGATCAGAAGTGATGCCTTCAAACTCTGTATGACCTACCAGAGACCATTTGGTAGATCTGTAGAGAACATTGGGACATGGCAGGTATTGGAAAAGTTTGGGAAGAGTTAAAAATTCTTGTCACATGGATAACTCATTTAATTTGTCTATTTGCCTGTCATTTTATTGCTTTTGGCAATAACTTAAAGTGTGTCATAAGCTTAACTCAAGGTTATGTCTCAGAGGTCAAGGCGATATAGTTAAATCCAGGAATGGAAGGGAGCTATAATTTTCATATTAAAAAAAAAATCTTAGTACCTGTAGCAGATTGAAACATATCTATCCAAACAATTAGGGCTTCACATGCCTTAGAACAATGCCAAAAATGATTGTTTTAAAATTTGTCTGATGTAAGGTTTTTAATTTTTGTCAGGATGCCTTGGAGTTGATGGGGGTCATTGCTATCATTGTGAACTGTGCTCTGATAGGAGTATCAGGTCAGGTCCAGAGAATGGTTCCAGGGGCCTCCACAGAAACTGTCATACTTATCATTGTTCTCCTAGAGGTAATCAATATTCTACAGCTTATATTCTGTTATTTTACTGTGACATTTACACATCATCTTCAGATTTATTGGATAATGGAGATATTTTGTCAATGAAAGGAAATGATCTTTCTATTTATTTTGAGATTGTAGTTGCTGTATAGCTTCAAGTTTAAAAATAAAGTATCTGATTAGCATATTTAGTCACCTGAGTCACGAAGCTATCTGTTTTTGCCATTCGTAATTCATTATGTCTGTGCTGTAAAGATTTGAGTATGTTCAGCTTGTACTATAGAACTGCTGAACCAGTTTCAATTGATTTTGGCTTGTAGCATTTATGAGTGAAAGGAACACACGGTTTCAATTTTGTGGCCCCTTCCTTTATTCTGATGATGGGGCTAAAACCATCAAAATTAAATCAATCTTTCAAAACTTTTCTTCTTTGCTTTTGGACATCAAGCGTCAAACTGATGGCATGATCAGGGAACTTGCTGGGTTAACTGTATATAAATTTTTCCTATGTACACTGTTCCATATATACAAGCATTATTGTGCCATCTAGTCTGGTGATATTGACAAAGGGGGAGGGTTGTAAGCACTGACAAATACAAGCAAGTAAATAGAATTGTTTTCATTTCTTGGATCCTTTACAGGATTGTTTTATGCTCAGGAGACTTTTGTTCAATCTACACTGTACTCTTTATATTTTTAAAACTTTGTCCACCTAACCTGATTCAATTTTTGATTATTTTCAGCATATAATTTTGGGGCTGAAGTTTTTGATAGCCTATGCCATTCCAGATATTCCAGAGACGATAGAAACCGAAAGAGCCAAACTAGAGTTTCGAAGGAGGGAAGCTCTAAAAGTAAAGCAGTTTTTGAAAGTTCTATTCTTCAAGATATTTCTTCTGGTTCAGATATAGATATATCATTATAAGATCAGTTATAAGTATGTACCAGAAGGCTGTTCAACACAACATACTCACATGAAGTTACGACTGAATAAATGATCTTTTATTTAAGAATGATTTACAGATTCAGTTCATTCCACTTGAGCCTCAAGTGGGCTATAACTTGGACAATTGGTGCTAGAGTTTTCATATTTATTGTCCCAGGGCTATTCTTTTTGTACCAACAGTTAAAATCTATTGTCTCTGATTTGATCTTGCTTTTGAAAAAAAAATTCTGACAAGGCCTTTATGTACTAATATTTTTGACCTAGACAAGGCCTTTATGTACTAATATTTTTGACCTACACTTTTGAAAAATTTATACCTCAGGAAAGAGCAGCCAAACAGGAACATCAGCATTTCACAAACATTCTTTTATTGTTTTAGAAATTTGAGGCAGAGATGCAGTCTATAGCAACCAGCAGTTCAGCTGAAATTCGGGAGAAGATATTGGCTCGACAGAAATCTCGTCGTGAAAACTCACATCAAAGTGAGGCTAAACAAGAAGCCACAGAGAAAGATATAAACATTACAGGAGAAGAAACACCCACTGACAAAGAGGCAGCTCTCTAAGGAAGACATATGTTTTAATTCCTCATTCCATCTTCATTTCTTTCAACCTTTCTTTGATCATGGCAGATCTTTATCCTCACAAACGATCCAAAACACAGAACCTGAAAACAGTGCATTTATGAATTATTTATGTAATTCAGTGGATATTACCAACATTTTGCATTCTAGTTGGACTCGGTAGAAAGACATGATTGAGCTCACTTTCATAACAAATTAGGCATACTGAAAACTTTGTAATTTGGTGCATCTATTGATCTTTTTTATTGAATCGATTCAGTATTTCAAGTGTATTTAGCTTTACTTTTGAAAAGGGGAGGGAATCTGAAATATTTTCCCAACAATAGAATATCGGTATTTTTATGGCTAAAGTTTTTGTGCGCATTGAAAATCTGCATGAAAAAAAATAGCTTTTTAATCAGAAGCCATGTGAAAAATTATGAAAATGTAAATGCTTTTAGAAAAACATATTTTAGAATGATGTTTCTTTTTTTTAACTTCTCTCTGATATAGAATTTGCTCAACTAAAATTACTTTTTGTGTACACTGGTTTTAAGGTCCTGTTTTAGAGCATATGGGTTGAGAGTACTCCCCATGTTTGTCACTCTGTCCATCTGTCAGTTTGTTGATGTAATAATGCCTTATCTTTAGTATCTTTCAACCTACTGACTTCTGTGACAAACAACGTGTATGTAAATGGAGCATGGCCAGAAGAAGAGATGTGTAACTTTTTTTTTGCTCACTTGATCAAAGGTCAAGGATATTGTCAGAATAATTTTCATTATAATTGACATATTATTTTGTATAATTTTGATCTTACTGACTTCATACATGGAGTGTAAATGCAAGGAATGGTTGGAAAAAGACAGCTGCAGTTTTCAGGGTTTCTTGGTCAAAGGTGAAGGTCAAAGCTGGAAAATATTGATATAACCATTTTAGAGAAAACATTTTAGAGTCACTTGGTCAAAGGTTAGGGGATAATGATACGATTATCTTTATTTGCAATACCTTGGATATATTGTATCCTACGTACTTCATAGAAAGTATATGTGTGTACATTTGATTTCTTCTTGTTTAGAGAAGGGTGAAGGTTATACATACCGGGGTACTTTATGATGTTAAATCAAATTATTTGGGTGTTTGAGACTTGATTGAATGTTTGTTGTATTTAAAGTGTAGTGTTATCATTATTAAAGGTCATGTATAGTGGGAATAAGTAGATATGCTTGATAAAAGGTCGGGATTTTTAGATTTGGGTGCAGACTGCAGTATAATTTGTTTTATCCATTTTATCAGTATTTCCGAGTCCTTTTTTTTAAATTCTCATTTGTACAATTTTTTTTATATTTTATACTTTTTAAAAAATATTCTTTCTTTTTTTATGTGGCAGGGTTATCATATGAATTTTTATCATGTGTTCATATCACCATATGACCCCCGGGGGAAGGGCGGGGCCACAATGGGGAATCAAAGTTTTATGTAGAAATATATAGGAAAAATCTTTGAAAACATATGCATTCTTGGGTGGTGTAAATTCTAAATTATAGGAATCATGACCCCCGGGGAAGGGTACCATATCTGTGAAACCCAGCACAGTTAAAACCTGCTTATAACGAAGTGCTAGGAATTGACAATTTTGCTTTTTTGTAAACATTATGTATCATATTCATTATTTTCACAAATATATTTTAAAGTAGCTGATATTAAAAATCACTTTGCTGTCAGTGTTCATTTCATTATAAGCATGTTTGTTTCACTGTATGATCAGATCAGTGTTAATTAAGTTTACATCCACACTGCATAATTACACTGTATACTTTTTGAATTACCGGTAGTGCTTCCATTTTCTCTGTGCAATACATACAGCGCTTCTGTCTGTTCAAGCAATAAACCAAATCTTGATGCCTATCTGATTTACAATATACTGAGTATGAATAATGACTTTTTAAAATCTTTTAATATAAATCCCAGTAAGTGTTCATATATTTTGCAATTTATTAAATATATAATTTTTTCTTAGACACAAGTAATCCTTTACATTTATATGTTATTGCTTATTGATACTTTTTAAGAAGTTTAATTTAAATATCGTTTCGTACTGTTCACTGTCATTTTTTATGTTGATGAGTGAGTAATTAATATGTTATGCATATCTTGGAGAATCTCAAGTCTTTGTTTTGTTTTTTTTTTAATGAGATTTTGAATTAAGTTTACCTGTATTTTCAAACAATGCATAATAGTGTCGGTTGTGTATATTTTATGTATTTGATGAAATCCTCAAGGGGCTGTAATTTTTTTAATTAATTTAGTTTCAAAACACATTTAATATTTATTTCAATCAAGTTTATTATTAAATTGTCAGTTTTCTTTTTTTCAGTTTTTTCATACAAAAACAGTAAGTTACATCTCAATAAAGTTTTTGAGTATTCATGGTCCAAGGGCTTTGGTATACATGTATATATATCATGTACCAGAGGTACTAGAAAAAGGGGATTTTTTTCCTTAAACAAGGCAGATAATGAGGAAAAATATGTGTTAAACAAAAGTAGTGGTTGCTGAAAAAAATCTTTTTCTTAGGAACCATGGGGCAGTTTATAGGAAAATTTATGCATAAGGATGAGGATATGTTTTAGATTAAAAATTGTTTTTTTGTTTTTTTTTTTGGCTACTCATTTTCAAAATATTTTTAAATTATACATTCTTTTTATACTGAGAGGTTTAGAAATATCAAATTTTGTAAGTTGAAAGTATGGATATAAGTTGGGAGTTTTTTTTGTCAGATTGTTTGTTATGAAAATTAATGACAGTCAATGTTTTATTTCTTTCTTTGCCTCTTAGAAAATAAACCATTAAATATACTCTTTGTGTATGACATTTTATTGTTATGGACTTCGAATCAATTAAAGTCTCTTTTAGGAGTATCTAGAATCCCTTGGTCCATTTGTCAGACTAGACAGATATTGTCAAAAGTATGTGCTGGTCATCTGTCACAAACGCAATGACTAAATTGTTGTCTGTTCAAATGATCTGGATATCCAGGTTAGCTGCTACAATCTTGAATCCTATCAAGAGATTTATTATTTGAAAGATGCAACCATGCAGGAATATTAACATGCACTTTGACTATATAGACTCGAAAATTGAAATTTCTTAGTTGTAACAAATGAGCCAAATTCAAATGAAAATGCATATAAATTCAATTTGCTAGGAAGGAGAAAACAGTCTGAGATTAAATTACATGTAAGTTATTATCTCCCATCAGTGATGCAAAACAATATATCATCAAATATCACATCTAGCTTCTCTACTTCATGGCTGTTAAATCATATCATACAAGTGTGGCTCTACTTTGAGTTAAATAAATGCTGAAATCTAGAAATTGCACATTGGACTCTTGTCACTACTGCATGTGTGTCGGATTGAACTAGATTTTTCCTTTCTGTACACATTTCACTAAAGAGTTACTTTCCTTTGTGTTAATACCATATACATGTAGCTGTTTCTTTAGTGGGTGTAAAATTTGGTGTTTTATTCAAAGGTATGGCCGAACTTTATCTGGCAGACACAGAGTTTAATAACATTGGGAAAGAGGAAATTCATCTTTTAGATAAATAAGCCAGAGTTAGCACCCCACGAAAAAGGCCTGCTATATATGGTACATTGCATTTTCCTTGTTAAGTCACATGACAACTGAATGTATGAGAAAAAACTACAAAGACAAATAATGCTTTTTATAATTTTTATTACTGCTTTATATTTTTATTCTAACAATCTGGGTTCTTCCAAACCAATGACTTTATGAGAATAACTGTTATGGACAGAAACAGGCTAATGTTCTCCCCTGTTTTATTGTATGTTGTGAATAAAATTCTATATGGGGGTTAAATTGATGGAATGTTTACTTTAGCAGGTGATTTTGAATGCCCCAAATTAAAATCATCAATATTAAAAATATTTAGTCTTGTTCTATGTTATATTCCCTTGCCAACTCTGCACAAGGTATTATACTGCACCACCAAAATAACCCTCCATAATTGATATACTTCACACTGTATAATTCCCAGTTTTCAGTACTGCAAATAAATAACAAAATAATCAATACAAATAAACACCTTATTCACTTCAATTAAATGCTACAAAGTCATTATTGTTTCTGCTGTGTTCATAGAAAAGGAGAATATTATAATTTGGCACCAATGCTAACATTTGTTACGTTTGCCAGGTAGTTATAAATTTATTATGCTATATTAGCAGAGATTCAGTCTGACTCAAATAAACGAAAAACTCCAAATTATAACATCAACAGAAGCACTCATCATACACAAATTATAAACTTATACCTCTAACCCGAGAAGACAAGCATTTGGCATTTTTCTTATTCATATATAAATTTGTATATAATACAGAACACACCATCATAACAAAATAATACCAGAAGTCTCTGTCGAGACTGAAGCTCTACTGGTTTGTACTTATAGCAAAGGAAGAGAAAAGTACTTAAGCAGTTGGAAATTGAAACTTTTCAACAGCAATAAATAGAATAATGATCCTTGATTAAGTCTCTTTATGTTCTGTGCAGTCTACTTGCATGCCACATTTATATTATAATCAGACTAAAATTGTATTTGGAGTAGCATTTTGAAAGAATTTCACAGAAATTTCTATTTTTAGTAACCACGGCAACACCGTTCATCGAAATCAAAAACCGATAAAGAGAATTATGTATCTTACTGTAGTCTACTTGTGTGCCAAGTTATATTGAAACCAGTCTAATACTGTAGAAGGAGTAGCATTTTGAAAGAATTTCACAGAAATTTCTATTTTTAGTAACCACGGCAACACCGTTCATCGAAATCAAAAAGTGATATACAGTATTATGTATCTTATTGTAGTCTACTTGTGTGCCAAGTTATATTGAAATCAGACTAAAACTGTAGAAGGAGTAGCATTTTGAAAGAATTTCACAGAAATTTCTATTTTTAGTAACCACGGCAACACCGTTCATCGAAATCAAAAACCGATACAAAGAATTATGTATCTTATTGTAGTCTACTTGTGTGCCAAGTTATATTGAAATCAGACTAAAACTGTAGGAGGAGTAACATTTTGAAAGAATTTCACAGAAATTTCTATTTTTAGTAACCACGGCAACACCGTTCATCGAAATCAAAAATCGATACAAATTATGTATCTTAGTGTAGTCTACTTGTGTGCCAAGTTATATTGAAATCAGACTAAAACTGTAGGAGGAGTAGCATTTTGAAAAATTGTTTACAGACAGACAGACAGACAGACAGACGTGAATACGGACGACGGACGCATTACTATCGCATAAAGCTCTTCTCAAGAAATATCAACTACACCAGTAGAGCTAAAAAATAACAAGAGGCCCACGGCCTTATAGGTCACCTGAGTATCATGTGACAACTTTCCAACAATTGAATTTGATTCATGTTTAAACTAGAGGCCATGAAATTTACAATTTTGAAAGAGGCACCATTGCCTATCATAATTATACACTCAGCATGCTTATTTTGGTTACTTAATACCCAGAGGTAGATCAGAGTAACAAAGAGAAAATGCATTTCCACTTTTAGTGAATTTCAGGGCCCCTGGATCAGGGCTTCTTGTGTTAGGGTGGGTCCACAGTTGAGCTACCTATCCCACAGGAACAACTGACCCTGGGGCCACATCTTTCAAAATTTTGGAAATTTTTAAAAATTTTAATTCATCATGCTGTTGATTAATACCAAATTGCAGATTTCAAAGCATTAAATTATTTCAGACTATGTTACACCCCCCCAAAAAAGTACCTCTGTCCCAGGGGCTAGGAAATTAACCATTTTTGGAAGAAGCAGGTTTTTTTGTCATTAATATATACTAAGATCATTGTTCATTGGAAGAAGTAGCCTTATTCAACATAACTATGTATTTGGTTAGTTTATTTAATACTCAGGAGCAAAGAAGAAGATTTTCAAAGAAATAATTCATTTTTTACTATATAGTCCCGCCCTAGCACTAAAACCCCTGACCCTGGAGCCATGAAATTCACAATTTTGGAAGAGGCAGCCTTATTCAACATAGCTTTGCACTTGGTTAGTTTATTTAATGCCCAAAAACAGAAAAGAAGAATTTCAAAGAATGCATGCATTTTCACTATATAATCTATATGGCCCCAACCTAGCACTAGAACCCCTGACCCTGGGGCCATGAAATTCACAATTTTTGAAAAGGCGGTCATTTTCAACTTACCTATGCACTTGGTTAGTTTATTTAATGCCCAGGAGCAGAAAAGAAGAATTTCAAAGAAATAATGCATTTTCACTATATAACCTGTTTAGCACCACCCTAGCACTAGAACCTCTGACCCTGGGACCATGAATTTCATAATTTTGGTAGAGGACTCAATGCTGATTACAATCATAC